GGTTTAATGAAGAATCCAGACGACTCGATGATGATGATGATGCAGTGACACTTTCACACACACACACACACACACACACACACACACACACACACACACTGATGTAGCGACACACACAGCCAAGGTTATCAACTAACATTTTTTTTTTTGATTTGGGCTCCAATCAGCTAATTTATTAGAGAGCTTGACGCTTATGTCATTTGTTTTATTTGCATTATCTTTAGAGGGGTTTTACTGTAGTTGCGGTGAATGAAGTGGACGCTAAGGATGGAATCCCAGACAAAGCGCAGGTTAAATCAGCCTCAAATCAACATGAAGCCTGTTTACTTTCTTATTCTGTGTTTCTGATCTTCATACATTCTCTGTCAGTTGTTAGCTTCATGCTGACTGTAAAGAGTTTGTGTGTGTTTAAATCATTACTGATAGTGCAGGTGTGAGAGTTTTATTTATTTATGAAGGAAGCCGTCAAACGGCATGAATACGAACAGCTAACATTGAATGAAAAATTCTCTAAATTCATAATTTTTAGCCATTACTAACGGTTAACCGACTGATGATACGAAACCAAGTTTTCTAGCTGCTATATTTTAATTTAACATTTCATTCTCAGTCTTTATTATTTGATTGACAGGCCTGTGTCATTAACCCCTTCACCCCTCATCTGCTGTCATGGCAACCGTTTGCAAACATGCATCCATGTGGAGTTTTACTGTGTAAAATAAAACGGTGTGCGGGGAATGAAGGATGTGTGTTTGCTGGTTTATTCACTTTATACAGACATCAGACACTAATAAATGATATAATATATAATCATATCACATGTAATGAAGTTTTAAAGGGTCACAGTGATGGATTTGAGATGTGTTGTGTGTGTGTGTATACTATATATATATATATAAAACATACATATGAGTAAAAAATATTTAGTCAAATAAAATATATAAAAATATGGTCTCTTGTACAAAATTTATTATTTGCACATTTTCATTCATGAAGATGAAATTTAGTTAAGATTAATTAAGCGGAATACCTTGTCAGTTTTTCCACACAATTTTAGTGTTTTTTGTTTTGTTTTATTTTTAATTTTACTTTAATTTTACATTTTCATTATATAATTTTTAGTAAGTACTTTATTTATTTTTATTTTTAAATATATTTATTGTAATTTTACATGCATATGATTTTATTTTTAAAATAAGTGTAAGTGTTCTTAATTTTAATTGTTTATTTTTAAATGAAATTCTATTTTTATGATTTCTAGCGTTTCAGTTTGGTTGTTTTTATTTTTAAATTAATTTACATTATTATGATGTAATTTTTAACAAGTACTTGTAATTGTTTTTATTTTGAAATCATTTAATTTGACATTTTCGTGATAAAATTTTTATTACGTGCTACATTGTAATTTTTAATTATTTAATTTTCAGTGTTTTATTTTAGTTGCGTTTATTTTAAAACTGTTTATTTTAATATTACAATTTATGATTCATTTCTAGTATGTTATTTTCATAGTTTATTGTCATATTACATTTTTGTTTTCATAAATTATTCGCTTTTCCCAATCTCATATTCAAAAGAATACGTTTGCTGGAGTGACGTCACTAACAAAGAACAACTTCGAACAGCGCATCCGATCGTCTGCTCTTTCCTGTAAATGACCAAAGAGTCACGTGCTACTCAGCGGCGCTTCCGATTGGTCAGACGGGTTTGCTCTCCGGCGTTTAGCCTGAGCGCTAGCGGGTTTACGCACTGAAATATCAAGTTTATTACATTAACAACACATTTTCAGACCGCGACATAGCGATTATATAATACATACTACATGTCATTTACGTTTAATAAGTTTGAATGAAACAATACACAAAACAGACAGCACTAGTAGCACATTTAGCCTTGCGCCCTACGGGATCGGTCTGAAATACACTCACTAGCAGTTCTTCCCGCTCTGACCGGAAGCGCTCAGAGAGTGGACGCGCTGGAACAGGAAGCAGTTCCGCGCGTCGCAAACAGACGTGGCAAAAGAACCGTTGGTTTGATCCGATCAACACCGTCGGTTATTGATCATCATTAATTTCTTTTAGATCGAGATTATGGCCTCCGGTGCGAGCAAATGGGAAGTGGTGAAGAAAGGAAAGAAACCGAACATCAGCAGCAGCTCCGGAGGAAAAACTCAGGAGAAGAAATCCGGCCGGAAAGCGCTGAGTGAGGCCAACACTGACAGCAACCGTAAGAGAAACAACAAAACACACGAAAACACGGCGACATTAGCCGAGAAATAAGATCCTAATAACATCTGTCGTGATTAATAACGTTACCTGATCTATATTATTAGTTATCTTTCAAACCATCGGGAGCCCTCACTTTATCATGCTACCACCAAACCACTGAGTGCCAGTGCATTTTAAAACTGGTTTATTCGCTGTTTATGTTCAGAAGAACTCTATTTCTGACAGTTAAACTGTTGTGATGAATCTGAGCGAAGACTCAAAACCAAACAGAATCCAATCAAATAAACTAAAACCAGGTCAGATGAGCAGAGACGCAACACTGCAGAACACTTCTGTTCAACCCCGTGAAGTGCTTTAATTCAAGAACGTTTAGATCTTTGTTTATTTATTTTAAAATATTTTATGTGTACAATATAAAAACAACAAAAAGCAACAACAACAAAAAAGGAGATGTGTGTGTGTGTGTATATATATGAACATAATTGTTTTTGTTATTTTAAATAAAATAAACATTAAAGGTCACATATTTTACACCTTTCTGGAGTTTTATTTTAAGTCTTGATGTCCTCAAGTTATATGAAGAGTTTGGTTCCAAAACGCTATAAATCCATTTTGATTAATTTGAGTAAAAATGTGTTTTCTTTTCCAAGAAAGTGGCGATGAAAACCACTATTTTCTGTTTCAAACGTTCACATAGCATCTTTAGGTTATAATAACATTAAAAATTCTAATCCAGATTTTGATTTTCAAAGATTTATTATAAAATTGTATAATTTTTTTCCCCAAAATGCAATAAATCCATTGAATCAATATAAAAGTTATTTTTCATATTGAAACTGTTGAAAATACACAACATGGTTAATCCACATCTGACAGCCTCTGAACTTCATCAGTACTACTCTCATATACAGGCACTGGACTAAAAATACATTCAATCAGTCATCTTGTTAATGCTATAAATTAATTACAACAATAAAAGAAAATTTCATCAAGAACATGAACAACAACATCACATTAAACCACAGAAATTCCAAAATGACATTTCCCTTACATTCAACTTCCAAAAGTGCGTTCATCTTTGCTAGTCATTCATTTAGTTGATTAGTGCTATACGCTGTATTAACAAAAACATAAATGGCATACATAAAACACTTACACTGACAAGCTACGCAATATCGCGTTCATAATTTGGTTTCTGTAATTTGGTTTCGTCAGTTATCATGAAAAAAGCCAGGAAATTTCAGTTTTGACAATATGGGACCTTTTAAAATAAAAGAAAAAAAAGATTTTTTCAAAGCTACATTTATTATTTTCAATATTAAACTAAATTAAAGCTGAAATAAAATGAATAAAAACTATAGATATATATTTAAAAAAACTAAATAAATAAAATTAAAGGGGTGCTATTATGCTTTTTCACTTTTTCAACTTTAGTTAGTCTGTAATGTTGCTGTTTGAGCATAAAAAAGATCTGCAAAGTTACAAAGCTCAAAGTCCACTTCAAAAGGAGATATTTTATTTAACAGAAATCACTTTTCAAAAACTACAAC